CCCCCCCCCCCCCCCCCGCCAACCCTGATCACCCCTAACTACCTCTGCCTGCCGGCCTGATCGCCCCTAACTCCCCCCCCTCCCCGCCGGCCTGGTTGCCCCCAACTGCCCCCCTGCCAACCTGGTCACCCCCAACTGCCCCCCCCCCTTTCAGTCTTGTTGCCCCACGCAGCCTGCTGTTCAGTTGTTACTATGATGGAGTCCTGGACAATTTGCATATTCCTCTATTATTAGTATAGATGAAGTAAAGGTAATGAGAAATTAGTATTAAGGTTGAAATAGATATTTTACTCTCTTTTCAAAATTGAACTAGTGAGAGCACTTGAGAGTACAGCATATATTGTGACAGCCTTCAGTGATGAACAATCCTTGCTTTTACTATCTGATAGCTCATTAAGTCTTTCACTTAAAGATTTACATTAAAAGCAATAAATCACATTTTCAGTAGGATTAGGGCACTGGTTTTTGCCCTGGTGATAATAATACAAAACAGTTGTTGCCTGTCCTTCCCTGTTAACTTAAACCATCTCTTCAAATGAAGAGGCATTGATCTTTTGTGTGTTCTCAGAATTATTTACCTTTTCTTTTTTTCCTTTATAAGTAGGAAAGAAATCTCATCTTAGGAAAACCACAGAGAAGAAACTCCCCACTAAACAAACCATTGCAAAACTACAGCAGTCTGACATTTGGAAAATGGAGAATGAGTTCTATGAATTTGCACTAGAGCAGTTCCAATTCATCAGAGCCCACGCTGTCCGAGAAAAAGATGGAGACCTCTACATCCTCGCACAGAACTTTTTCTATGAAAAGATTTATCCTAAATCAAACTGAGTACAAGGTGTGACTATTTGATTTTTCAACTAAAACTTTGACCCTGTCTTCACCTTAGTTCTCAGATCCACAGTTCATATTGAGCCGAGTTAGGAAACAAACAAAAAGATCAAGGAAAGTAGATGCTAGCTGGTATGTCAGTGGTCAAAGAAGTTTAAGCCTTTTTTTTTTTCTAGTTAAATTTTGGTGGGAGTTATAACCTCCTGCCTGGGAAAATCCTATGTATCACCTAAAATAAACACATAGCAGTTCTAATCAAAAGGCTAAATACAATTTTAGAAAAAATTCTGATACTCTGTTTTTTGATAAAGCGTTTTTTTTCAACTAACCATGAATGAAGACCAATCCATTTGCTCCTCCGCCTTCACCTGGAGGGTTGGTTACGCAACTGCACTGAGTAGCGTTGCTACTGGTGGGCAGTGTGTGCTTCATTTCTGTGAGTCAAGTCTCATGAAATTTATTGGAATCCTTGATCATGTTTGCTAGGAAGTGTCTCTGCTGTAGTTGGAATTGCCCATATTTATGTAGGCCATGTTCATTTCCTTTAAAAAAATAATTGTCATTAGTGTTAAAAACCAATTCAAACTATTACTAATACTGTAAAAAGATCAAAGCAGTGTTTCTCATTCCTGTCTCTCCAGTATCTAAGATTGGGGAGACACTACAGAGAACACTGAAATTTTAGTTGAGGCTTCCACACATTAATATTTAAAAAAGTAAGTTTAGTATTTGTTTCTCCAGGTTATCTGTAAAGCTGTCAACAGGTACTGGTGACTCCATATTATAACTCCATTTAGTGAGCTGTGGTATGGGTAGGGTTTTCCTCCTTCTGTACTTTTACTTGTAAACTATTTTTACTACGGTGCTTTATAATGTGTTTTAAAGCATTGCATTTACAAAAAGGAAAATGCTGTAAATATTGCATATTTTATGTATTTGGACCAAAAGGTTAAAAGTAATTAGACAAAAGTGGTTTTGCACCAATTTTATTATGTCAAGTAAAACCATCAGGCCTAGTGTTCTTGTATTTCTCATTTAACTTTAAGATATCACTGAAATTAACCCTAATAACCTTTCAATTTTGATACACAGTACATTGTTCAGAATTGGGGGCAGTAGTTATAAGTGGAAAGAGTCCTGGACAAGGAGTCAGAAAACTTGATTTCTGGTCCTGGCTCTGCCACTTTTCAGCTGTGTGATCTTGGGTGTGTCACTTAACCTCTCTTTGCCTCAATGTCCTCATCTTGAAATGAGAGTGGTAATACCTGCTGTACCTACCTCGCAGGGGTGTTGTGAGGATTAAATGAGATGGCATATGAAAGCACTTTGAAATTGTAAAGTGCTACATAAATGTAAGGTATTATGGAAACATCTTTAACATATAGTTTCATACTGTTCATTTTTTAAAAAAGAAAGGGAAAGTCCACTTATAAGCTGGTTGAAAAAAATTTAATCTTGATATAAATTTGTGTTTGATAAATATCTTCTCAGTGTTTTATCTTCCCTGTTTCAACTATTGAAATACAAAGCACCTGTGAATTCTTAACAATTCATGAGCATCTGCTTGAGTTCAGGAGGTTCCCTGTTTGAAGAAGTCTTCATTAGCTGACTCAGGGCAGGGAAAATTTGTTCTTCAAATTTGGAAGAGTTTTCTGTTTTTATTTTACATTACCATTCAGAAGTGGTAGCTGTTTTATACCTCTAGTTTTTAAGGTATATTTTGCAGAGTTTCATTTTCCTGGGCATTCTTTACCTTCTTCACCTTCTTAGAGTGACAGAGATAAAGAAATTTAGAAACATTTTTCTAAAAGAATAATCTTTAGTATGTATAGTTTAAATAAATATTCCCAAACAAGGCCTCAACAAACCATGTTAGCATTGTAGGCAGGTTGCTTTCAAGGCTATTAATTACATGGGAGGCCAGGAGCGAGCACTATTTATCAAAAAACATTTATTAACAAATTTAAAGAAGAGGAAGTCAACAGAATAATTTTCATACCCTTTCCCCCCAGTAATAGGAACATATTAAGAGAACATTGACAGGCATACTTTTCTTATTTGGCTTTCTGTATTTTTTCTGTGTATTAATGTTTACAGATATTTGTTGAAAATATATACAAATTATTTCCTTGCCCCAAAGGAAAGCACCATTTCCAGGTGGGGCGTTTGACATTTACCTGCTAAGGAGCCCCAGTGTGTCGGTCATTCTTGGAGTACATGCTGAGAGCTCCCTGAGGTGCATTAACTCTTCATTTAACCAGAGGAGCACGTAGTGCACTAGGTCAGGGAGTCAGTGAGCTTTCTCTATAAAGGTCGGGAGAGTAAATTTTTGAGGTGTTGCAGGCCATATGGTCTCTGTCACAACTACTCAACTCTGCCAGTTAGCACAAAAGCACCCATAGACAACACATAAACGAATGAGATGGCTATTTTCCAATAAAACATTATTACGAAAACAGGTGACATGCCCAGGGGTTGTAGTTTACCAACCCCCAAAATAGATAATTATTTATGGAGAAATCATTTTTGAATCTGTACTCTAGTGGCCTAAAAGAGTTTATATACTTTCAAAAGCTCCTAACTTATATCCAAAGAATAGCTTTCTGATTCAGGCAGTCTCTCCCACAGATGCATAAACTTTTATGACTTAGATTGCTTCCAGGTGGGCATGTTTTCTTCCCCAGTTTAACAGTTCAGCGTAGGGGCTTATTCTATCATCTTTTAGGGTGGGTTAGGATTATCTTTCCTGGAGCCCGAGAAAGGGTCAGATTTAATTCCATCTGGTCCAATATAGCCCCAGGATACGCGCAGAGTCCTTATAATACCTAACTTTGTAGCAAATACATAGAACCACTGAGACAATAATGTATTTTTTTAAAATGGCAAATGTGGTTTTCTTTTTTTAGCCTTTGTGCTTTTTCAGTATTTTGATCATAGGGAAATTTTTTTTAACAATACAAAAGCAAATCAACCAGTTTGAATTTTAAGATAATGTTATGTGTGTGTGTGTATATACCTATCTATATATGTTTATTTCCCCAAAGAGGAAAAAGTACCTTTTTGTTCAACTTGTATCAACTCCTGTTTTCTAATTGCTGTGAAATGGCAACTGTTGATAAATTATTGTGACTGTTTTAATGTAATGGAGAGGATATATTTTTATTTTACCCAGCTTTAATGTGTAAAGTATCACTTAAATATATCCGATAGCAACACTTAAGATATTGCATGGGGATTACTTTACTTTTCTATCATCCATACTCATTTGTGCAACTTTGAACATATTGGGTACTTCTGAATTCCTGATGATTGGGTTTAAATTTTTGAAAATTGGAGAATTTGAACTTACTGACTTTTAAAGTTTAAATTTTATTTTCTATTCTTAAAACTCAGTTAATGTCTACAATTTGAAATCTACTGTTGTTCTTTCTCTATATATGTCCTATTGAAAATTCCTAAAATTGTTAGTGCCATCAGTGATTTACAAACAGTATTTTGATATTGCAGATGATTTGCTCATTGTATTTGCATAGTTAGAAAGAAAATAGTTTGTAGACAATGACTCTCTCTTTTTCTAATAAAATGAAATAAAAATTCTAAAAGCACTAGAGAATTTAACTAAAGGCTGGTTCCCAAATGCATAGCTGGTATTTTAATTTACATTTAGATTCTACATAGAGAACATCTGTGTAAACCATGGTATTTGGGTTTTCCCAGGGAGCATTGTCAAACACCTATGGTCCTCGAATCCTGAATTCTGAGAAGCACCCGGTACTGTAACCTTTTAGGAAGTTTGTCTTTAAGAGAGGTGCAGGTGGTGCTTCTAATTTATGATTTGAAAACTTGCCTCTTCGTAAATTATAGCTATTTAGTTTGAGAGGAAGCGGGGCCATTGTGTTAAATTTTGCATTCATTTACCCTGTGCAGAGTTGCTGTCTGCTGCCAGCTGAACTGCTGCTCAGGCAGCCTTCGGAGGGGAAAGCGACCCTGTTTCAGCAGCACTGCCAACTCAGTGCCTCAGGAGTGGAGCTTGCTTTCTGATTTCCTGGAGTGGGAATTTGAGAGATTGAAACGGGTGCTCAGTTAGTCAGATTTATCCTATAATTTAAGTTCATGCAGCTTGGTGACCTTTGCAGTACTATTTATAAAAGGGCCCCATGGCGATGATCTCTTTAAAACACACTACTGGGTAAGCCTGTGATTTAGACACAGGTGCTGTCTGTCTGATTTCATAGAAGCTTCTGTAGCTTTCTATTGAGAGGTCTGTGAGCGTCTCTACAGCAGTGTCGAATGTAATTTTGAGAAACGGATTGTGTATTTTGATTTTTAGTTTATAAATACACAGACAGCTGAATAGTGCCTTTCCTCCCTCACAGTCCATGTTGGAAGATGCTCACTCCTTGCTTTCTCTGCTCTCTCTCCCTTCCCTCCTCCCTCCCCCATGCAGTTGATTCATTTATGCAATACTGCTTCCAACGTGAAACCATTTTGTCACATCTGCTGGAGAGATAATCACTCCTTTTCCTTAACATTCTGCCAGCTTTCTGTTGTTGAAGTGTTTCAGTTGATTACCTGATGCAAAAGCTATAAAATAAACACTCGGCGGGAAGGGGAAAGTGTTCTGGTGTCCTGTGTTAATATTGTCCTCGGAGCCTGGATGCTGGTGGACCTTTTCCAAGTGGATCTGTGTCATCAGCCTCATTCTCAGAAATCACTGCCACCAGAGAGGCATCGGGATTGTGTCTGACAGTCTTTTACCCAGAGGGGTGTGCCTGTGCTGCTGTTTGCTTTGTACTTCATCACTGGCATTGAAGTTCCAGGTAGGAAGTGTACAAGGCAGACTGGGGATATACACTTACTTAGAAGAAAAAAGGAAGCAAGGAAAGGGCTAACAACTTAGAATAAAAAGGAAATTTGAAAGAAAAAAGTCTGGTTAATATTTATTGCATAGTTTTAGACATGTCCATATGTTTCTTTGAGAATACACATTTCTAATGATTATGTTTTTTCACCCTTAAAAGAGAAACTCTCAATTACATAGATTCCCAATTCCCAGCTACAGGCTCATTGTTTGAGCAAGTAATTGATTCTTTTTATATGGTACTAGTGGCCTGGTGCACAAAATTCGTGCACATTAAAAGGGGATTAATTAGAGAAAATATTTTAAATGTTGCTATTTTCCCTTTATAATAGAAGTGTCAGAGATGAAAGAAAATTAGTAAAATGTATATGGAAATCTTCCTCCTGTCAGAGTCTGGGGTGCGCCGCGGGACCCAGAGTCAAGTCCCCAGCCACCCGCGGCACCTCAAAATCGTGCGAGACCCAGACCCGGCCAGCACCACCTTTGTCAAGCCCCACCTGGCAGGGGCACAGCCTCAGGTCCCCTGGCCTGGCGCTGGGTGGGGGGCACAGCCTCAGGTACCCCGTCAAGCCCCGCCAGGTGGGGGATGAGGCTTGAAATCCCCCATCAATCCCCGCTGGGCGCGGGGTGCAGTCTGAGATCCCCCATCAAGCCTCGCCGGGTGGGGGGGTGCAGCCTCCGGGCCCCTGTCAAGCCCTGCCTGGTGGGGGGCTCAGCCTCAGGTTCCCCGGCCCATCACCAGGGTGGGGGGCGCACCTTGAGGTCCCCCATCAAGCCCCACTGGGCAGGATGTGGCCTGAGGTCCCCTGTCAAGGCCCGCTGGGCAAGGGGTGCAGCCTCAGGTCCCCTGGCCCGGCACCGGGGTGGGGGGCATGGCCTTAGGTCCCCTGTCAAGTTCCACTGGGCGTGGGTGGGGGGACGCAGCCTCAACTCCCTGCTGATTGCTCATTAAAGCTCATTACGGGAACTCAGCCTCTGCTGTGGCCCAGCCATCTTGTGTTACAGAAACCCCGCCTCTGCTATGGGCGCAGCGATCTTGTGTTATGGAAATCCCACCTCCGCTGTGGGCACCACCATCTTTGTGATGGTGCGATGGTCAATTTGCATATTCCCTCTTTATTAGATAGGACTAGAAGCCCGATGCACGAATTCGTGCATGGGTGGGGTCCTGCCGGCCCACCCCGATGGGGGCCCATCGGGCTGGGCCAGTGCGGTGGAGGGGCCATGGGCGGTTGGTGGCCAGCCCCACTCCTGACATTTGAAGGTGGTGGGTTCAATTCCCAATCAGGGCACATACCTAGGTTGTGGCTTTGATCCCCCATTGGGGTGCATATGGGAGGCAACCAATCGATGTTTCTCCCATTCCTCCCTCTCAAATAAAAACATATCTAGGGTGAGGATTGAAAAAGAAAAGAAAAGAGGACATTTGCCTTAGAGTTTTAAGTTAGTTGATCATGTTAGAATTAAAGGTTGTTAGACTATCTGAAAAATAAAGTTAGTTTACAGTGATTGTTGCCTAAACCCGCACATTTCACTGTACTGTTATCATCACCAGCTTTTTTTTTTTTTTAATTCTCACCCAAGGACATTTTTTTCCATTGATTTCAGAGAGGAAGTGGGAGAGGAGGGAGGGGGAGGAGAGAGGAGAGAGAGAGAGAGAGAGAGAGAGAGAGGTGAGAGAGAAACATCAATCGGTTGCCTCCCTCACACTCCCTGACCAGGGACAGGGATCAAACCTGCAACCCAGGTTATGTGCCCTGACCGGGAATCAAACCTGAGATGCTCTAACCCACAGGACGATGCTCTAACCCACTGAGCCACACCGATGGGGCACCAGCTCTTTTTTTTTTAAGCAGCAGGTGAAATATCTGAATTTTCTTCCAGTAGTAACAATGAAAAAATGCAAATTTCAGATCACTGTTCACTCATTTTTCTCTGGAGGAATTCCCCCCACTGTTACCTTACCTTGTCTTCATTACACCTCATCCCACCTTTGTCACCACAGAGCACAAGTGTGGCTCCTTGCAACAAAACAACAAATAAAGCAGCATCCTATATAATAAAAGGCTAATATGCAAATTGAACAGCGGAACGACCGGTAGCTATGTCGTGCACTGACCACCAGGGGGCAACCACTCAATGCAGGAGCTGCCCCTTGGTGGTCAGTGTGCTCCCACAGTGGGAGCACCACTCAGCCAGAAGCTGGCTCACAGCTGGTGAGCACAGCAGCGGTGGCAGGAGCCTCTTCTGCCTTCACGACAGTGCTAAGGACCCATTGGGGAACAGGGAGCAGGCCTAAGCCAGCAGGCGGACATCCCCTGAGGGGTCCTGGACTGTGAGAGCATGCAGGCCAGGCTGAGGGACCACACCTGCCCCCCATCCCCCAGTGCCTGAATGTCATGCACCGACCTCTAGTCTACAATAAAATTTACTTCAAAATGCACACTTTCCCTCTTTCTATTCTAGGAGTAACCAGTTGAGCAAACAAGGAAAATTTTTTATAAAGTCACTATTCTCTTTTCAGTTTGTTATATTCTTATAGCATGAGACTAAATAGATAAGAAAATTTCAAGGAGCTGTTGAAGGTATAATGGACTTCTAGATTAGATATTTAGCACTTAACATCAGTGAGGAAGGTAAACAACAGGAAAAAATGTAGGAAGGATTTGTTTTTGTCTTTGCCTTTCACCTATTTCATTCTATGAGAGAATAAATTCCCTTGAATAGATTGTTTTTTGGTTTGAAAACAGTGACTGTGGGGTTCATGAAAAGATAATCCCTAAGAGCCTGGTCGGTGGGCTCTGTGGTTGAGTGTCAACTCAGGAACTAAGAGGTCACAGGTTTGACCCCTGAGGGAGAATGAGGAGGCAGCTGATCGATGATGTTTCTCATCGATGTTACTCTCTCTCCCTCTCCCTTCCTCTCTCTCTAAAAATCAATACAAACATTTTTTTAAAAAAAAAAGATAATCCCTAAGAGTTGGCTGGTCGTTATTCCTTTCTTCTCACCTTTTGGCCATGTGTTTATTCAAAACCAGATCATCACAACCCTCTTTTTGGAAAAACTTGATTTTTACCTCGAAAATCGAGATCTCAGACATTTTGCTCTCCTATTCCCATGTGATTTAGTGCTGCCTCCTTTTCCCTACAGTCCTTCACCATGTACTGTTATTGCAGAGATTCTCACAGAAAGACCACTTTCGAAGGATCTAATTGCAAGGCATAGAGAGATCTAGAAGAGGCTGTAAAGGGAGAGGCCATTTATATGGCAGTTAGAATATGGGCTCTGGAGTGCTACAACTTTCTGATTTTGAGCAAATTAACCTTCCTAAGTTTCAGTTTCCTCATCTGTAAAATGGGAATAACACTAATATCAACAGTTAGTTTGAGGGTATGTAAGCTTACTTAGTACTTACTTAGTGCCTGTTCCTGAAGTACTAAAGAAGTACTAACTTTACCCCCTATGATAAATATGAAAGAAAAAGGTGAGGAATTATCTGTTTGGGCATACTGTGTTGAAGTGTATATCCCCTCAATAATCCATGAACACGTGTCAGGCATGAGGAATATGAAAGAGGAACAGGAGGCATGGCCTCTCCTGGTTGAGAAGAGAGGACATGAAGAAATACAAACCATTGTGCAGAAAGCTCCACCTTACTGATAAACCACCTCTTTTGTTGTAAGGAGTCATAACCACAAGCACCCCGGGACCTTTTAATTTAATTCACTTAATCTCTTAGTTTTAACATTAAAATAAGCACCAACCTAGACACCTAGGGCCTATTCGTTTGCTCTAGAATATAAACCTCCATATCCGTCTCATAGGCTTAACCCCATGACAAGTGTGTGTCCTCACACTTCTCTAGACACCTGATTGGGTTCAGAGGTTAAAATGATAAGGTTTTTTAGGAGCAGCATTGTTGACATCCAGATGTCCTTTTTAATGCTATTTCAATTCCAAAGTCATTTAAACACAAAGCTCTACACATAGTCCCAATTTTACAAATGAGTTGTGTTCTCAGAATTCATTATAAACTAACTGGAGGCCTGGTGCACGAAATTCGTGCACGGGTGGGGGATGGTCCCTCAGCCTGGCCTGCACCCTCTCCAAAATGGGACATCCCCCTCACAATCTGGGACTGCTGGCTCCTAACTGCTCACCTGCCTGCTGCCTGGTTGCTCCCTAACTGCTCCCCTGCTGGCCTGATTGACACCTAACTGCTCCCCTGCCAGCCCGACTGCTCCCAACTGCCTTCCCCTGCCAACCTGATCGCCCACAACTGCCCTCCCCTGCCGACCATCTTGTGGGGGCCATCTTCTGATGATGTGAGGGCGGCCATCTTGTGATGATGTAAGGGTGTCGCGTGAGGACCACCTAGGCTTTTATTAGTATAGATTGTTTGAAATCATGTAGAAGCAGTATTATATGTGGGGGCCCCACCCGTAAAAGTTAGTTTAAGATAAATATGCATGGATTATCCCTTCCTTAGAGCAGAGGAATCTCAGGGCTGCGTCCTCCTGGGATTATGTGCTCCCCATGAAGATCTTTCCATCTTGAACCCTAAGCTAAGTAGTTTGTATTTTAATCTGTGGGTGGTGGGGGTTGTAAGCAGAGGATGAAGTAGTCTCAGTGAGTTTTTCAAAGGTTCTTGCAGTAGCGGGGAGAACTGACTCGGGCTGAGCACCAGGAATCGGAAAACCTCTGAGGAGGAGGCCACTGTGGTTCTCAAGGGAAGTTGGGATAAAGTTGGGGAGAAGC